ATGGTAAGAGCGTAATTTCTACTAGGGACTTCTAGGATGTCAATGTTAATGCGTTCAAAGGGTGTTCTAGGTGTTTCGGTGATGACAAAAGGTCGGTCGAGGTTTTTTCGATAAGCTTTAGATTTTTGGCAAGTAGTACAATTTTTTATAAATTTTTCTACGTCTTTTGTCAGTCCGGTCCAATTATATTTTTGTTTTATTCTGCGTATGGTTTCGTTAATTCCACGGTGAAGGTTGGCTTTACCGCAGTGAAGTTGATCTAAAATTATTGGAATTTGATCAGGTTCAGGTGTTTTTGTGACGTTTTGAAATACTTTAAATTTAATTTCTTTTTCTGCAAAAAGGAAGGATAGCATTTCTAATATTGGTAGGTCGATATTAGTTTCTACGCTATAGATTTTATTGGCTTCTAAATTATTTTGAGAGTTGTATAGGGATGCGAATAAAACTTCTGAAACTGAATTAGGGTCAGATGGAAGAGGTATAATTAAATATTTTCGGCTTTTTACTGTTTTACTACTAAAAATGTTAATTTTAAAAGCTTCGAAATCTGCGTGTTCTTCGAAGATGTCTTCAGATACTTTTTCGTGGAGTTCTTGTAAATTATCTTTTTGGAAAAAGACTAAAATGTTTTTATTATTTTTGTTTAACAATTGTTCATTTGAATATTCGATTTTCGAATAGTCGATTAAAGATTCGGTTTTATATAAGTTTATAAATGTATCAAATTCTTGGTACATTTTTTCAGTATTGGTAATGTTTTGATCGTCATTTTCGTCTTGTGTGTCAGGATCAGTGTCATCGTTATCGTCTGTATTAAGTGGTAAGGCTGAATATGGGGTAAGTTGGTGTTTAAATTGAAATTTTGAAATGTCTTGAATATGATTTATTCTTATACGCGATAGAGCATCGGCGTTTTTATTGATTTTACCGGGTTTGTAGATTATCTCGTAATCATACTCTTCTAGTTTAAGTCGCCAACGAGCGAGACGACTTCCTGGGTCTTTTATAGAAAAGAGCCAAGTTAGAGGTCTGTGATCGGTTATTAACTTAAATTTTCGTCCAAATATTAGTGGTCGAAAGTGTTTGACAGCCCACACAATGACGAGAAGTTCTCTCTCTATTGTGGAGTACTTAGTTTCGGCACTGCAAAGTGTTCTCGAGGCATAGGCAATGGGCAAGTCTTTACCTATAGGGCCTTGCGAGAGTACTGCTCCGATAGCAAAGGCACTCGCATCAGTAGTAAGTAGAAATGGTTCGTCAAAGTTTGGGTAAATTAAAACTGGGGTTGATATTAAATAATTTTTTAGTTCTTCGAATGATTTTATGCATTCAGCGTCAAAATTAAATGTAATGTCTTTTTTCAGAAGGTTTGTCGGAGGTTTTGAAATTTTGGCGAAGTTAGAAATGAATCTTCGATAATATCCGGCTAGACCGAGAAAGGACTTAATTTCTTTTTGATTAGAAGGTTCGGGAAAATTTACAATACAATCTACTTTGGATGGGTTCGGTTTTACACCGTCTTTAGTGACTAAATGACCAAGATAAGCGACTTCTTGTCGTAGAAATTCGCATTTATCTGGTTGTATTTTCATATTAGCTTGCCTTAAGCGTTTAAAGACTTCTGTTAGACGACTTAGGTGCTCGTGGATAGTGGGAGAATAAATGATGATGTCGTCCATGTAGACTAAGCATCGTTCATTTTGTATTCCCAGTAAAATGTTATCCATCACTCTTTGGAATGTTGATGGAGCATTTTTCAATCCGAAGGGCATCCTTACGAATTCAAAATGGCCATTTTCTACTGAGAAAGCGGTCTTTTGAATATCTTTAGGGTCGATTTCAATCTGGTGAAAACCAGAGGCAAGGTCTAATGTTGAGAAATACTGGCATTTACCCAGTTGGTCAAGGAGGTCGGATATGTTCGGTAAAGGGTATTTGTCATCCACAGTTAACTCGTTGAGTTTTCTGTAGTCAACAACTACTCTCCATTTTTGTTTGCCAGAGGCGTCCATTTTTTTGGGAACGACCCAGACAGGGGATGAAAAGGGAGAATTTGAATGTCGAATGATTCCTTGGTCTAACATTTTTGATATTTGGGTTTTGACTTCGTCTTTGTGGATTTGAGGATAACGGTAAGACTTTACAAAGGTGGGTTTTTCTGATTTTGTGTCGATAGTGTGTTTAATTTCATTAGTAAAGGTCAATTTGTCGCCTTCTAGATAGAAAATGTCTGAATAGTCTAAACAAAGTTCAGTAATAAGTTCCGATTCTTCTTCGTTTAAGTGTTCTAAACGAAGTTGGTTTTTTATTTCTGAAACTCTATCCGGTTGTAAGTTAAAATTACATTCGTTTAAATTATTGATTGAAAAATTTTGAATGGGTTCGAGTTTCAAGTCAGAAAAGTTTATAGTTTTTGGCATTGCGTTAGCGTTTAAGATTGATGTTAAAAATTCACCATTAGAGTTGATTTTGACTAAAGCATTAGGTAGACGTACTTTATCAATTTCCGTAGCTTCTAAATTTAATGATACGTTTTCAACGGGTGAATCTTCCTCTACTTTAATCAAAGGTATAGTTTTAAAATTTGTTATTAATTGTCTGTCTTTCAGGTCCACTATGCACTGATAGTGTTCTAAAAAGTCGGATCCAAGTAAACCGTCAAAGTCAATGTCAATGTTGCAAATGTATACTTTATGAGGGTCTTTTACATTGAATGGAACCAGAGTGGATTCGTTAATGTGGATTTTTTGGTTAGTAATTCCTTGAATTACTACATTTTCTTGGGATCTATGGGGAAAGTTTTGACAAGTGTTGGGTTTAAAGATTGATAAGCCTGCTCCGGTGTCAATTAAAAATTTAAATTTGTTTGAAGCGTCCTTTATGTAATAAAGATTTTTTGAATTTACTGAAAGTAAGGGACTTACAGGAAGTTTTGTTCCGGGAAGTTGAGGTTGGGATCGAAATTGTCCATGTTTAGTGTTTGAATTTGGGATGTTATTTCCAAAATATCTTGATTCGGGGGGTCTGTCTGGAAACTGGGTCCTGGTTTTGTTCCATTTCTGTTGGGAAATCTAATTGAGGTTGGTCTTGGTAATATTGCTCATCATTGGGTAAGTAAAAGTAATTTTGTTCGTCAGTGTCGTAATACTGTTCGTAGGAGTCTGAATTGTTGTAATTCAGATGATGGGTTTTTGCAGGGTATTTATTAAAATTTGGATTGGGTTGAATGGCACTTGGCCTGGGAGATCCTATATTGGGATTTGGCCTAATGACAGGTGGGCGATTTTGAAAGTTCGGATTCTGTGAAGTATTTTGTTGTTGGTAAAATGGTCTTTGTTGAGGATTTTGAAATGGTTGTTGAGGGCGAAATTGGTTTTGATTGTTATGTTGGAAATTTGAAAAGGTTTGGGGGGTTGTCATTCTTTGTCTACATTCGTTATTCGAATGTCCGGTTCGTTTACAAATTGAACAGTTTTTTATTGTCTGATTTGGATTTTGTTTACGAGGTGGTATATTTGTATTGCGGTTTAGGTTAAATTTTTGATTTTCAAAATAATTTAATTGGAGTTCGCGTCTAATTCTATTGGTAGCAGTTAAAATGTCTGGAGGGTTACTAGCTCTAACAATTTGACCAATTTTCAGGTCAAGTCCGGCAAGTAAAGTATTCAAAGCCATTGATTCGACAAGTAGGGTCTGAGCGGCTTTTTCTTCAGCTGTAAGGGTTTGTTTGTTAATAGAAGCGTATAACTTTGCTTCGTGCGTTTGTAAACGAGCAACAAAGGTTAAAGGAGATTCGCTAGAAGATTGTTTTAATCTTTGCAGATCTTGAATTGAAGAGGTGAGATCGCGTGTGTCACCAAAATGATTTTCAAGTAAGGTTTTAATTTCTTGCCAGGTTTTAGGTTCGCCGGAATTTATAAGTTCAGCAGCACGGCCTTTTAACTTGTTTTTAATGTGTAAAGTAACTAAAACTTTTTGATTGCCTATAGCCATGTTAAAAGCAGTGCTACATGCTTGAATAAAAGTGTTAAGAAGTATTTGGTTACCTTCGTACTCCGGTACGACTGAAAATATTTCGCTTAATTTATAAGGTTCCACCGCGCCAGCGGCAGCAGCAGCATTGCCTGCGTTATTTGGGTTATTTTGAGGCATTCTGCTTGATCTTGTTCTTGGCATAAAATTAAAATAGGTTAAGGGAAATTGTTATTGGGAAAGATTTCTGATAAAAGAAATGTTCTTAAAATTACGATAATCGAATGATTTGTTAAAATCGCGAAAAATAAAAATAATAACGTAATGATTCTTACAGTAGTTTGTCCATAGATGAAATCCTCCTTCGTGAGCCTTGCTACGCCAGGTGAGTGTACACGTGTTCCCAACGCCGAAGAGACCGTCTATTAGATTCTTGACTGTATTTTTCTTGTTTTCTTCAATTTTCTTAAATTCTTCATCGTCCCGTTAGTTTCCTTGTTCTAAACGTGTGAAAGGCATCCTACCGACTGCGCCAATTTTTATCTTCTTGTTATTAAAATTCACTTTTTAAAAAAAGCACAAATTTATTTAAACACAATATAAAATTATTAAGTACTTAATGTTACAAGACTGAGTATAATACTAAACTAACAAAACAAAGACATTCCTATTTATAAGTTTTTAAAATATGTTGTACGTGTTGTCTCAGGGTTCTCATCGTTGAATAAATGAAGAGTTGCATTTCCCAGAGAATTCCATACCTTGTTATCTTCTCCGATTAGATAACGAAATATGACTCTCGTGAAGTCTATGGTGTCATCATTTTATCACATATAACATATATATATATAATAATTATTATAATTTTTACACTATATTTTTGCATTTTTATTAAAAAAAATGAAAATAACATATTTTATCATTTACCATACATCATTTAAACTACCATTAAGTCCATAAAACGTATAAAATATTTTTGTCCGGATATCGATCTCAAATACTCCTCTGTGCGCCGTTCACGTAAAATGAAACGCTTGGAAAAATCTCGAAGTATTGAGTCTAATTTTAATCCAGTTGGTCCCCTCACTATTCATTGGGACACTAAATTGCTTCCGTCGAGCTTTGGTAATTATTTGAAATATTTTATGTAAGATTAATTATTTTACTCTATTGACGTACGATTATTTATTCTTCAGGTAGTGAGAAAGTTGACAGGTTACCGATTGTTGTGACATCTTCAACTGGAGAACAAATTCTTGGAGTACCCTCATTGAGCCGAGGAACAGGGAATTTAATGAGTAAAGCAGTATTTGAGTATTTGAAGAAGTGGAATATTCTCGAATTAGTTCGCGTTATGTGCTTCGATACTACAAGCTCAAATACTGGTGTGAAAAATGGAGCTTGTACAGGACTGCAACTCTTATTAGGCAGGCAATTGCTGTATTTTGCCTGCAGGCATCATATTTTTGAAATTGTGTTAGAAGCTGCGTTCTCATCATGTTTTGGATCATCCTCTGGTCCTGAGCCTTCTATTTTTATACGTTTTAAAAATGCGTGGAGTAATCTAAATAAGCAAAATTTTAAAAATGGTTTAATCGATCCAAAAGTATCGGAAAAAATTGGTGACAGTTGTGAAATTATTAACACATTTGCATTAAAAATGCTCAGTGTCAATCAACCACGTGACGACTACAAAGAGTTGTTGGAACTGATTCTGATTTTCACAGGTTACATCAAAGAACCTTCATTTAAAATACCCGGATCTATGCACCATGCAAGATGGATGGCTAAAGCTATCTATGCTTTAAAAATCTTTTTGTTTCGAAATGAATTTCCTTTGACAAAACTCGAAACAAAATCAGCCCAACGACTTTGCGTTTTTGTGGCATCCGTTTACATGTTTGGGTGGTTCAATGCATCATTAGTGATCGAAGCACCCCGCAATGATTTAAGGTTTCTAAAAAATTGGAAAAATTCAAACAAATTGATAAGGCCATTGCAAATAAAAAGTTTTCATCTCATTTATGGTATCTCTCAGAGGAAACAGTCTGCCTCGCATTATTTGATGAAAAAGTGTCCGTTGCAACAAAAAAAATATTTTTAAAAAGATGAATATTTCGAATTATAAAGATAGTTTAAAATTCTTTCAAAACAAAAATGACCGAGTAGTAAAAGTTGTTGTTGATGTTGAAAATATCGCCAAGCTCGAATTGGAACATTTTGTCACAACAAAAGTTATCGATTTTTCTTGCTTGAAGACGTTGAAAAATGGACAAATAATGAAAAATTTAATGAATTAAAAGCTCTTATCGGTCATTTAAAACCTATAAACGACACTGCAGAACGTGGAGTAGCGCTTGCTCAAGTCTACAACAATTTGCACACAAAAAATGAGGAGCAAAACCAAGCCCTGTTTCTCTGTGTGAGTCAACATCGAAAAGACTTTCCTGATGCAAATAAGAAGAAGAAAATAATATTTTTTAAAGATGTTCTGTATCATAAAGCAGATGTATAAGTATAAGAAAATGTATGTTTAAGAACGCAAATGTAATTTTTGATATAAAATACAGTTAATTTATTAAGACCTTTTCGTTCATACTTTTTTCTTCGTACATCTCTTAAATAAATAAAAGAATCCATTATTCGCTAAAGACAAGATAAATTGAAATAAATATTTATATTTGATTTTATCAACTTTTAGCAATATTCTTATGTATGGTAAGTACACTTAACTTAACTTAACTTAAAGATCTAATACTTTCTGACAAATAATAAAACTTTCTGACAAATAATAAAACTTAACAATAAAGGCAAGTGTTTTGGCGAATAGATAATTGTTTTTAGACTTATTTGTAATGTTTTTACAGATTTTGAATTAAAAAAAAAATGAGCATTAATTATTTGTTAACTTAGATATATTTGCTAATTAATATATATTTTTTAAATATCATGAACAATTTTTTGGAATAAGGGCAACATTATTTATTAGAATAATCATTAAGAGTCCACCAAAAAAAAAATTCAACCATTTTCATTCAGATTTGTATGAAATATGCCTACTTGTTTATAGCAATGCATTTGGGATGCATGATTTTTCTAAATTAAACAATTGCGTTGAGCGACCTCTAAATATTAATTGATTTCACTCAAATTTTTACAGATTATTTTTTTCTTGATACTCTTTGAAAACCCGTGTGGTCTCGCACAGAATTCAAAATTTTTTTTTTGCATCACCCTAATATATATATATATATTATATATTTATATATTTATATATAACCTGCATCTAGTTGGTTATATAAATTTGGCGCCCAACGTGGGGCTTAAAGTTGGTAAACAGAGATTTCTCATGTTTGCATTTTGGATTTAAATTTTGGTTTTATAAGAAAAAAAGTCAAATTTAACTTATGTAAAAGTTTTCATAATTTACTCGATTTTTTAAATGACAAAGCTATCGTAACGATTTTATTATTTTTAATCTTAATCATTATAAATACCTGGGTATTCGAACGTCAAGCCTACTAGCCTCGGATTTGGGATTTGAAACGAAATCACAAAAAACTTATAATATACAGTGTGAACCAATTTTAGTAATATTTTAATTTTGATATGCCAAGTAGGCAATGAATACTTCTTTTTGATATTTTACGAAGATAGAAATACTTACATTATTACTTTATTTAGTTTATGATTTTAAGCTATGGTGTTGCTCATGTGTATTTAACTTACCTATAATAAATTTTAGGGGGTCATTTACAATTTTAGATTTTTATAATTTTTTTTACATGATGGATCCGGTTTTTTCTTTGAATGGATTATTGCTGTATTGATATTTAGTTTTTTAAATTTTTTTCAAAGTCAAAGTTTATTGCTAAACACTTTCGTGTTGAAGATTTAGATTATGAATTAAAAATCAGAGATACTGTTACCAGTAGAAGCCATGACGAAAAACGTAAGATTTTAGCTAGGTTGCTTAGGAAAGAAAGATTCTCCAACTGCTCTTGCGGTAGGTAAATTGGATTTTGAGCTGGAAAAAGTAGCTATTAATAAAACCTTAAGTTCTATTACACAGTTAGTGTCAAATTTTGAAGGCAAAACAACAGATTCATTATATTCAGTTGTGGTATCTAGACTTAATCATGTTACCTAAAGAGTTCGAAGATTAACCATTCCTGATGATGCCAGTGAACGAAGCTTATGCAACTTGCCTGCATTTAGAGGCAGAACTTAACGATAAAATCGTTGAAGATGATAATGTGGTATCACCTCCTCCTTCATCCAGCAACCAAATCTTTAATAATAGTATAGCATCACCAAGTACACCATTGGTAAACTATAAACTACCACGTATAGATAAATAGAACTTAAAATTTAGTGGTGAAACTGATGAGTTGGGTTTAATTCCTTTTATTGAAAGGTTGGGGGAGGTGGCTGAAGCGAGGGGTGTAACTAAAGAACAGTTGTTCAGTTCAACGATAGATTTATTTTCGGGCAAGGCATGGCTTTTTGTAAGAACTAATAAACATCTGGTACAATATTGGGACTCTTTGGTTAAACTACTTAAACAAAATTTTGTGTCGGAAGACATTTGGGAGCAGATTAAGGGTAGACGTCAGGGAAAAAACGAAACAATAGAACAAAGAACCAGCAGAAGTAACGAAAATCAAATATGTGCGTAGAAATCTATTACCTAGTTATTTTAATCTTGGTGGATACTCCTAGCGTAGCGTAGCCTAGTGTTTATTGTAGAAAACTTGAATATGCTGCCAAGCAATCCTTTGACAGAGACAAAAGCGTTGAAAGTTTAGAATCAGAATTAAAATATGTAGATAAATCATCCTGTAGTTCTTTTAATAACAATAAAACCCGATTTTCAAGTAATAATTATCATAGTAAATTTAGACCGACCTACCAGAAACCCAATATTTTAGCTGTTAGTACTAGTAACAAGCAGGTAATATGTTTTAACTGTAAACAACCAAACCATACATTTCATAATTGTACCCTTAAGAGGTCCAAATTTTGTTTTTTTTTTGGTACACCTGACAATTTTTAAAAAATCAAAAACATCAGATTCTTTTCGGGAGAAGAACAAATTTTTTAACGCGAAAGATTGGGAATTGTGGTTAGGTAGGCTGAATAACAAATTCCAACACTCACATGATGGGCTGACAAAGTCAATCGGTTTATTCAGCATAATAAAATAGTATAAATAGAAAATCATGTAACATAATTTTATCATTTCAATAAACTTTAACGTTATTGTTAAATGGTCATTTTACTCCTTCGTACTATATCCAAGCCTATCTGCCACCGAGACGTGAGGCTGCGTCTCGATAGTACTGAAAAAAACTACCCCTTACAAATCTTGTTGGGCTCTGCCTAACAGTTGGTCCTTCGAACCGGATCCGGATGTCAAGTCAACAGTGCCCTTCAACCCAGGCCCCAAGAACGGAAAAAGCAATCTTCGAGTACAAGGTCCATCGTATACGAATTAACAAAACCAGGAAGCCCTATCGACTCCCACCAACTATACGAGTCAGAGGAGATCCCCGGGTTCAACGGGTCGACGAAAACTGCGACAAGAAGATACGTCTGAAGCAGAAGCTTATCCAACTATTTGGGCCTGACTAAATCCGTTAGCTAGAATCCATACCTGGTCGCCACCATAATGGACATCGAAAACGCAACTAGGAAACAATAAGAGTTAGCAGAAGCAGTTCAAAAGTTATTAGTCAACACAAAAAAGGACTCCTTATCCAGGAAGAAGCCAGCCTACGTTGAACAGAAGCGGGAGGTTTTGGCAAGTTACTGGGAAGAATTCAACAAACGGCACAACGAGATAGTGTCCGTCATAACAGAAGAACATGCCTACATGTCAAAAAACTTCTCCGAACAAGTCCGCACCTTATTCAAAGACTTTGAAGAGCACTTAGCCAACGCTGAAGTACGCTACACGGAGGCAATTAAATCCCTGCCCTCTTCAGAGTCCGGACCATTGGAAGCGCCCCAATCACTACCAGAATCGGAACCAAGGAATCAAACAGTACAGTTTGCCGCCACCAATCCGGCCACAGCGCCTACAAGTATACTACGACAGCAAAGCATAAAATTCAAAATGATGCAAAATTTGCTAGACAACACTGCAGCACAAATGCAGACAACACAGCCATCAACGTTTTGGGAGTTTAAGCGAGGCACCTTAAATACCCAGTGGTTAGCTATACAAGAAAACCACGAGAACATTCTAATGGGCGACACGCCAGATGTTGAAGACTACGTCAATAGTGGCGACTTCGAATACATCCAACTACAAGTAGAGGGTTTAATGGTTCAGCTACATACACTCCTGGATGCTGCAACAAATAAATCAGACAAGCTCCGTCTGAAACCCATCGACATTCCACATTTCAGTGGAGCTGGAGTCTCTACGGACCATTATTAACTTTTATACGAAAAATTGGATAGGGACACAATTAAATTATACGAACAGTCCCTAAAAGCTCCAAAAGAAGTCCCACGTCTAGAAGAGCTATTGGGTTTCTTAGAAACACGGTTCCAATCCATAGAACTTACCAAGGGGCCCAACCGAACAAAACCAGAGCAGCAACCGAAGCCTAAGGAGCAAGGGAAGAAAGATGCATGGACGGCAAAGTTGTACCATACCACGTCCATCAATTGTATCTACTGCAAGGAGCCACACTCCATCTACCAGTGCAACAAATTCACTGGACTAACAACACATGAGAGATTCAATTTCATTAACAAAAATAAGTTCTGTGTAAATTGTCTCGTTCATCCAAGAGACTCTGCATGCAAGAGCTTCAAGACTTGCCTAAAATGCAACAAACAACACCATACCTTACTTCACCATGAAACAAAAGACGATAAGAGGTCAGGAGTAGGAAAAACAGCAATAGCGAACTTAACCACTACTCAAGATGGGGACTCTTCATCCACGACCATGACATTAACTACCAAAGTTAGCACTCTACAAAATCCGGAAGATGTGCTATTAGCTACCGCATTAGTGAAGGCACAGACATACGAAGGAGCGTGGGAATACGTTCGAGTACTGGTAGACTGGCTCTCAGACATCCTTCA